ACTTGTCCATAGGTGTGAATGTGAGTGTGCTTGGTTGTCTGTCTCTAAGTGTAGCCCTGTGATAGACTGGCGACCTGTCCAGGGTGTCCCCTGACTTCGCCCTAAGTCGGCTGGGATAGGCTCCAGCCCCCCCGCAACCCTAATGAGGATAAAGCGGTGTATAGAAAATGGATGGATGGATGTAATTTTGTCCCCCAAAATGTCTGCCAACTTCACCAAACCCTCAGGACGACATCATACAATCAGCATCATCCACCTTATTAACTCTGTGGGTTGCAGATGTGTGACTCTAAATCATATAAATGGTTGACACACTCTATGATACGCTCTATGACCTAACTTTCCATCTGCACATTATAATTTCTAAGACACGTCCATTCTGTTGTTGAGATATTGTGTGTTGGAACAACAAATACCAATTCCTGTATATTAGAAATAATTAATAGAATTGAATAAAGTAATAAACGCTGTGTTTATATTTTGTTCAGTATAGTTGTCAAAATATTTGACTTTGAGCAAACTGTTGCACAGATGAACCCAGAGAACAATAGCTGTGACTTTTGAAGATGTACATTTAGGCTACAAGTCCTCATGATTTTCTGGCAGTGTGTGTTGTGTTTTCATCCAGTCTGGACTCTCATGCCCTCACTGAACATCTCCCTCTAGCCAGTCTACGAGGTGTGTTAGAAAAGTTTCAGGACTGGTGTCACAAAAGATATATTTCAAATCCAAACTACAAGTGTTCCTCTTCAAAGCAATCCCCCTGGAGTCTAACACACTCTCCCAGCCTTCTCTGCCACGCCGCCATGCACTCCTGGAAGGATTCTTTCGAGATCCTCCACAGCTCTGTCACCACAGCCATCCTGATGTCGTCTTCAAAACAGGTCCCCTTGATGACCCCCCTTGAACTTGGGGAAGAGGTAAAAATCATACTGAGCCAGGTGGGGTGAGTAGGGAGGTTGCTCCAGCACGGCGATGTTCTTCTCAGCCAGGAACTGTGGGATGCTCAGGGCGTTGTGAGGAGGCACGTTGTCATGGTGAAGCAGCCACGACTTGTCCTGCCACAGCTCTCGCCTCTTCTCGTGCACTGAACGAAGCAAACGCCGCAGGATCTCTTTGTAGACGTGCTGGTTGAAAGGGAAGATGCGTTGTTTGTAGTTTGGGTTTGAAATATATCTTTTGTGACACCAGTCCTGGAACTTTTCTGACACACCTCGTAATCCTGTGTTTGGTGAAGCACTGTGAGCCTTGTTACTGAAATCACCTAATGCCTTTTGATGGAAAGAAACGGGGCTGTGCTGCTGCAGACCTGATCAGACCTGCTGTCAGGAAAAACAACTGTCACTCCTAAAGTGACCTGTTTCAGGACTAATGACCCTATCCCAAAAGCATCTCAAGGGTAAAGTCAACAAGTTAAGCCTTCATTAGGAAAAACTTTGTGGAAAAATAAAACCCATCTACCGGAACAATTTGCAGCCAAGAGAATGACTTTCTTCTCACTAACATGAAGGTGTTAACAGAATATCACCACCCTTTCTATAGTTTAGCCTGTGATTCTGATACAGGATTAGGGTTCCCTCTTAGAATAACATCTCATCATAACGCACATTGGATTGAACAATTGAATACTCCGACGACAAAGCAGAACTGAGCCATGTATCTCTGTTTAACGTAGTTTGCAAAGCGATGACTTCAGTGGTCTTGATTCTTTTACCTCATCTATCTCCTCGTCAGGTATGACGGTGGCCTGAAGCAGAGCAGCTCTCCGTCTCTGGAAGAGGATGAAGGCTTCAGCGACTGGACTCAACGCAGAGAGAGGCGAAGGCAGCAGCGCCTGCAGGAGCTCAGCCAGGGAGGAGAGGAAGATGAGGATGAAGAGGAGGACACAATAAACAAAGCTGTGCCCACACAGACTGCCCAGGCCTCAGTCACGTCCTCAAGCCGGCGCCAGAAACAGGAGCAAGAGGAGAGAGACAGGGTAGAAATGGAGAGGAGGAAGGAGCATAAGGAGGAGGTGATGCGTGCTGAGAGCATGAGGAGGGAGAAAGAAAGGCAGGAGGAGCAAAGGAAGAAGGATGAACTGATTCCAACGAACAGGAGAGAGATTCATAAACCAAATACAGAGGTAAGACTTCGGCTGAACCAATCTTTCAAGGACAAGTCATTATTCCTTTAAAACAAGCCAAAGTCAAGTCTAGTTAAGTGTCAGATAATTTTGCTCAAGTCTCAGGACACTGGTGTTAAGTCCATTTCAAGATCAAGTCAAGTTTGACAAAAACTTGTGACAAACAATCTGAGTTTCATATTATTTAAAACAAGTCGTAGTCCAGTTCTTTTTGAGACAAGTGGTTTTTATTTCAAAGCAATTTTTATTTTTAAGGTACTCAAGTCCAAATCAAGGCTCAAATCACATCCAAGCCAGAATGCAAGTTATTTGAGACAAGTCATCTGATCAGGCTGATTCAAGTCAGAGGTCATGCAAGAGTCAAATCAAGGTCTTCAGGATTCAAAAATGATTTGAGAAATAGTTTGAAACAACAACAATAATAATGATAACAAAGTTAGTTTGAAGTCTGAAACTATTTAGGACAAATCCACGTCATAGGGTATTTGAGACAAATTTGATTTAGGTCCAAAGTTGCTGAGACAAATCTGAGTGAAATTTTCGGAGTCTCAGATAATTCTGAAAAAATTCTGGAAAAAAAAATCAAAGTCACAAGTGTTTAGAAGCACATTACTCATGAACATCAAGGTATTTAAGGTCACGGACAGTTCACTAAAAATGACATGACATGTATCGAAAGAAGCTCTGTTGCGTTCAACTTTTCATGAACAGGTCGAGAAAAGAAAAGAAGTTAAAGTCTCCTACACATCAAAGGTTTTCCTTCACCAAGAGCCAAAACACAACAACTGCTACAGCAGTCCAGCCACTGAGGAAGTGACATCACACATGAACAAGACAAAAAGATTCACCAGGTGTGTAGCACGTTTTATTTTTTATGATAGTGATAATTTACCTTTGTTAAATTGACAAATGTTTAAATTTAACAACTAATATAGTGATAGATAACCATTTATCTGACAATAGGGGACTGAAAATATAAATATTTTCTTTCAGTTTCAGTACTTGATAGACTTTTGACAAAAGCTCTGTTTCTTGATCCAGTATGAGTCAAAGCTTTATATATGTAATGCCTTTTTGTTACATGCAGCAGAGCTGTGGAGCCTGAGGAGGTGGAGCCCATCCTGGAGACAGAGCAGCATCTTGGGAAGATCCGCCGGAGCCTCCAGGAGAAGGAGAGCCAAGAGCTAGAGCAGCTACGATATCGACAGGACAAAGCCGAGCAGGAACTGGAGGAGCTGAAGAGGAGGAGGGAGGAAAGACGCCGAGTCCGGGATGAAGAGGAGCGTCGCAGGGAGGAGGAGGAACACCAACAGCTGGCCAAAGAGGAGGTGACCATGACTGCATTAAAAAAATAAATAACATGTGAAAGTCTAGACAGCATCACTTAGAGATTTACACAACTGCAAGAGGGAATTTGAGAAGTAGGATGTTACCCCAGGTCCCAAGTAAATTGTTTATTTTGAGGCATCATATTGTCTGTTCCAGCTAAACCCCATCCATCCATCCATTATTTATACACCGCTTAATCCTCACTAGGGTCATGGGGGGCTGGAGCTTGTCCCAGCTGACTCAGGAAGAAGGCAGGGGACACCCTGGACAGGTCACCAGTCTATCACAGGGCTACACTTAGAGACAGACAACCAAGCACACTCACATTCACACCTATGGACAATTTAGAATCACCAATTAACCTCAACATGTTTTTGGACGGGCTGCAATGTGGTTCGGTGGTTAGCGCCGTTGCCTCACAACAAGAAGGTTGCCGGTTCGCATCCCGGTGAGGACACACAAGAACTTTCTGCATGGAGTTTGCATGTTCTCCCCGTCTCTCTGGGTTCTCCGGCTTCCTCACACAGTCCAAAAACATGTTGAGGTTAATTGGTGATTCTAAATTGTCCGTAGGTGTGAATGTGAGTGTGCTTGGTTGTCTGTCTCTAAGTGTAGCCCTGTGATAGACTGGTGACCTGTCCATGGTGTCCCCTGCCTTCACCCTAAGTCAGCTGGGGTAGACTCCAGCCCCCCTGCGACCCTAGTGAGGATTAAGCGGTGTATAGATAATGGATGGATGGATGGATGGATGGATGTTTTTGGACCTTTTGGGAGGAAGCCGGAGAAACCACATTGCATGGGGAGAACATGCAAGCCACAGTTAAACTACTAAAAGTCATTTTTATGAGTCATACTGGCCTGTTACAGATACTTCCTGATGCTGTTAAAGCTCCCAGCAACTCATTCAAATCCCAATATCCTCTCCAGTGTTTTGATACTGAACCTGGAGATATTTTATATATTTAACCAAAAGGACATTTGCTAAGCAATAACAAGCAGCCAGTCAATATTTATTTTCATATCAACAAGAATGTTTAATGTGAAAGTTTGTTTTGAAGTGGAACATCTTGCAGCTGAAGAGTCATGTATTCTTTTCTGGAGCTGGTGGAGACCAAACCAGAGCTAAAGGCAGACTGTATACTGAACTTCGATTCATCATGTGGACACAAATAAATCTCCAGGGGGAAGATAATGTTGCCTCTCTTATACTGAATGTCGAAATAGGTGCTAGCATTTTAGCCAATTATACAATATCAGAGGTCATGCGAGCCTTTTTTTTTGCCATTTCTTGCGCTGTAGTTCCCTCTAGTGCCCAAAAAATGACCTTTAACAGTGATACAATCATATTTATTCACATGTTGCTGTTTTAGTCTTTGTAGCTATTATACCATTTGTGCAGCACCCCACGTACAGCACTTTGTTTCAGCTGTGGCTGTTCTGAAGCGCTCTATAAAAAAAGTGGATTTGATTTGATTTGATTTGATTTGAATTGAAATGTGAAGTCAAGCGTGTTTGTGACCTGACTTCTAGGAGGAGAGGAGACAGATGAAGGAAGACATTGAAAGAAGGAGGATGGAGGCAGCAGAGAGGATGAAGAGCCTGAGTATGTCCAGCGTGGACGGAGACGAGATGTTATGTCCCTTCAGCCCCAAAGTTCCCACACACAAGGTAAAAAAGTACCTGCTGTTACCTGGTGACTGTTTAGATTAAATTATACTCAAGTCTTTTTTTTTTTTTAAACTGTCATATAATCAACTTCAACTATATATAAGCAGGTCTCAATACAATATACAGCTGTTTAGCAGCTAGATTTAGGATAACATGGCCTGATCAAAACAGTTTTATTTTGCTGTTCTAAGTTATGATAAAGTTTTTGTTTAACAGTTTTGGAGATGAAGTTTCTCACCAACCACTGCACTGATGACGTGCTTCTTTATAAGCTTAGCTAACTTAAGATTACATTGTGATAGCTATTTTAGTAGTTTAGTTTGGTTAAGTTAAAAGGACTTCATATACAAACTGCTGGTGCAGCTATGAATACTATTTGGGTTCTTACATGTTTGGTTAAGCTACAGCTGATAATGTACAATCAAACTAAAACTATGTGGATATTTAGACAGGACACGGGGTGACCTTCCACTTTGGTGATTCATAAAGTTACATTAACAAATACAGCTCATAGATTAACTTGTGTAAAATGATAGCACCTCTGTAAACATCTAAACATACAGACAAACCCAGTGACCAATAACTGTGTGCTCTCTTCACAGCTGATGGGTTCAGTCTCAGCTTGTAAGTTGCATGTGTGTGTCTGCGTTTGAAAAGCCAGCGTTTCCTGGCTGCACCAGGAACAGCATGTTATGTTATTGCAGAACTCACAAATTCTTGAAATGTTTTATTGTGTCAGTATGATGAACTGTAAACCGTGTCCACCATACATGGCTGCGCTGAGTTCCAGCTTCTGGATGCTTTTTGGACACAAGTTCTGATCTTGTATGAGTTCCTGAACAACATTTTTATGATGTGTTGAATGTTAAAACACCAAAATATTTTTTTTTCAGGACTGAAAGGGCTCCATAGTTGGATGATGTATTAGTGACACTTGGTGGAAATGTCTATGTGCATGACACTGCATGTGTGCTCTTCACTGGTGCACCTTCTTTTGGCATTTTTTCCCCTTAAATTAAACTAAAGAAGTAGTAATACTGTCAGTTTAAAGAAGAAGAGAAAAAAGTATGCTGGTCATGCAAATGAGAAAAAGGACATCCATCCATCATCAATAGTCCTCACTAGGGTCGTGGGAGGGCTGGAGCCTATCTCAGCCGACTTAGGGTGAAGGCAGGGGACACTCTGGACAGATCACCAGTCTATCACAGGGCTACACTTAGAGACAGACAGACAAGCACACTCACATTCACACCTACGGACAATTTAGAATCACCAATTAACTTCTCTCGCTGCCATGCAGCATCCACATAGTCATCCTGGTCCGTTTTTATCTCATATCCATTATGATGTTGTAGTCAGTCCCTCCTTCAAGGTGGGTGCTGGGTCTGACTTATCAATGGATGGCTAGCCTGGGCTCTATCCATCTTTGTTGTCTCCCTTGGTCAGCTTAGTAGCTTGTTAGTTGACCTGAGTGACCACTCTGTTCACAGCTTTGGCCGTTTCAACTTGGCCTTTAACTGAGGTTAGTCTTGCATCTTATGGACTGGCCTACCCAACCCCTCTGCCAGGTCTGTCAGGTCTGGTCTTTGCATTGTCCAGGTTCTCCGCCTGGTTGGTATGTAAATATGTGTACATTTGCAAATGCGTCTGTCATATACATGTGGTTTGGACTGCACCGTCTTCTCACAGGGTGTCTTTAAGAGTTACCTCATACGTATGAAATATGTAACTGGGTGTAGAGATAGTCTTGAGATGATAGAGAACGTATGGTTACGGTGTAGCCTTCGTTCTCTGAATGAAGAGACAATCTCTCCACTCAGAGGCACGTTTCAATTGAAACTATCAGTGAATTCACGCCAGCACGGGTGCCTTATAGGTAACCTGTGGGACGTGCCCAGGCAAGCCAGTGTGTCTTAGTTAGTGTCTTAAGTTATAAGCCACAAGACTGATATCCTGTAGGCTAATTAATCCTGTCGTATGGAGGGGCCCTGAGTCAGAATGTCTTTTTAAGAGCATGGGAAGCATTCCTAAATAACATTATTTATCATCAAGCTAACACATATGAGATGTTGTTTGAACACCGGAGGTCTGGTTACAGGACACTTGGAGCTGCAGGGTTCAGAGGGTGTTGGGCAGAAATCTACCGTCTGAAAACTCCACCTCAGGACCCCTTAACATCTAAATCCAACCACGTTTCAACATAGAATGTAGTTTTTTTTAAAAAACTGACCTGTCAATGGAAAGCATAGTGCTTTGAATCTGGTCATCTGTTCAAGTCTTTGTCTCCACATTCTGATTCTGACAGTCCCCTTGACTGTGTGATCGGCTGCCTGTAGAAGATGCTGATGTGGATTAAGCATTAGTCACAAGGTCAGGTGTTTCCTTCGTGTGTGTTCATGCAGAGGAAAGTTCTGACTTTGGTGTTTGACCTTTAAGGTCAGAGGAAAATGCTTTGTGAACATGTGACACATGTGACTGGGTCCCATAAAAGTGTCCAGGTCTATGACTATGCAATGGATGCACTCAGATCCTTCCCTTAAGTATAAGTAATGCATAACAGTAAAATGGATATTATGACAGTTAAAGGCCTGCATGGAAAACTAAAAGTAGCATATTATCAGTAAAAGTAATAACAGTAATAGCAACAGTTTATCCTTTGATATGATCGTGGGATTGTTGGGACTGGTTCACTAATGTGTTTTAGCTCCTTTAGTTTTAGTTCTGTTTTCAACAACCTGGGGGTCGAGCCCCTCCAAAGGGTCACATAATGATTCTAAACAGTCATAAAGTCATTAATGGGAGGTGAAAAGGGAACAGTACGGGCGCCCCTATAGCTCACCTAGTTGAGCGGGTGACTCATGAACAGGGAGTTCCCTGACCCAGTGGCCGTGGGTTCGACTCCCGTTCACGACCCCTTGCTGCAGGTCTCTCCCCTCTTTCCTGTCTATCTTTACTGCTCTAAAACAAAAAAATAAAAAGACCACAAAAAAAACAAAAAAACAGAGAGAGAAGCTTTTAATATATAACTTAGGTTACATAACTTTAGGTCTCAGATTAAATGATACCAGGCAAAAACTTAAATGGCACAATATGTCTTTAGTGGACCTGCTAGCAGACATCGACATCTGACATGACCAGGACACACAGATGTACTGTTAGGAGTAAATCACCAGCTACAAACTGTGGAAACTGCTGGTGTAATCTCAAGCAAAGTGTTGTTTTTATAGAGTGAAAGTTTATCATATGTTTTGCGCTATATTGTCAAGTACAATGTTTGCCTCTGAAATGTAGTGTAGACATATAAAGTATTACTAACACAAAGTAACATAGAAAACATCAGATGTTTGTTGCACTACAAAAATACATCCTCAAGTCCTGCAGTGATCATTCAGTAACGCTATATAAGTATCATCAGCAAAATGTACTTAAAGTATTGAAACAAAATGTAATCAATTCATTGAAATTGTCCCTGTGAGTGTCATACTATTATGAATAATAACATTTTCTTGTTATATGATTACTTCATTATTATAATTACTCAAGTGAGCAGCATTTTGTGGATGTAGCTGGTGAAAATAAACCTGATCTAAACTATTTAATTTACCATTATTAGTAGAGTCAACTCTGGCAGTGCAAATATACAAAATATAGTCCAGCAGAAATAGAAAATGGCATGAAATGGTCATTTTCCAGGAAAGTTTAAGTGCAGTAAAATTAAAGTAAGTCCAGTAATAGATGTTTCTACAACTTGGTTTAGAATGTAGAAGTCTTAAAACTGTGTTTACGCTAATTCACATTTTGTCACTTCTCAGCATTTTAATCTTTGAACACCATTAATCCTTTATTTCATCCTGAGGTTCTTTGACACAGGAGTGGGTTTTAAATCCGGTCATCATTTACATCCCCTGAGAACAAGCTATGACAACTATTCTTTCCATAAAAGTACATAGTGCAAATCAGTTTGTTTTTCAGAGACTTATGTGTTTAAAAGCCCCATGTTCCCATCAGCTTGTAAAGCTTCTCATGCAGTCTGATGAAGGCCAGCAGGCTCACCTCTGTTTGTGTTGGACCAACTTCTGCGGCTGAACGCACAGCAGAGCTGTAATTAACCCACTTGTGAACCAAGGCAGCAGCATGAAGGGAAACATCCCAAAAAAATTACCTCAGACTTCTTCTTTTTCAGATTACAGAGAGAACGGAGTCCCTGAACCGCTCGCTGAAGAAAAGGTGACTATCTTTATGAAATATCCTGATCAGTTTAACCAGTAAGTTGCACCTATCCTTCCATCCATTCAGTTTGTAACCTTTACTGATACACAGAGAACCACTGAAAGCGTTTCCACCTGTTTTGTAAGATGCCGTGCACACAGAGATATCAATGCAAAAGCAAAGATTAGAGATTTAGACAAACATTAAAGCTCAAAAACCTACTACTACCAATAATAATAATAATAATTATGATGATGTGTACATGACAAGTATTCAGTCCATTTTTTCATTCTTGTTTCTTGTCAACTCCGGCTAAATACATGAATGCAAATGATCTTCATTTACATTGTATTCTATGGTGAAAAGTATGTGGGCAGGTGGATGACCTTAGTTGTTCATGTGCTGCTCACATTTAGCCATGAAGAAACCTCAAGAAGACAGGAAAAGGAAAGAGAGAAAAGTCATACAAATGTAATACACATCTGCACATACAGAGGAAACAAATACTGAAAACAGCTAGTGGACACAAATATATAATATAAATGGTGAAGATGCTCCTATTTGGGATTAGTTTTTAATTTTATACATAATGCTTCATTATCAGTTTGACAGCTTGAGTCAAAAGTGGAATCTTACAGTCTTATCTTATCCAGAGTAACCAAATGTTTTATTTTATTTTATTACTGGATGAATCGTTTACTCTATAAAATGTGACAAATTTAAACATCTTGTTTTGTCCAATCAGCCTAACGATATGCAGTCTACACTGATAAAAAGTGGAACCAGAGATATGAGTCACAGCTATTTGGACCGATAAGTTTAAAGACTGAGCAAATCATTTCAACACTAGTCAACTCTCAGCTCCGTCTTCTCTCTGTCAGATGAGCCTGCTTATAGATGGTTAACCTTTGCCTGTCCAAAGGGAAACACTGACAGAGAGGGTCGGTGGTGACCTCTTCCCCTCTCTCAATGCATCGCCATCCTCAAGCAGTGATTTATCGGTCTGCTTAACTCTGTCCAGATGCAGGCAGCTGTGTTTTCTCTGGTGGTTGGTAAGGTATGTTGGCTCCAGGCAGTCTGCAGCAGGAAATGATCAGCTCTGAGGAGCTCTCAGCAGGAGGGAGCCCTCCGTGAGGATGCTTTTATTTTAAAATAACTGTATCAAGAGGAGTCATGATGGCAACAGACAGTTAAACCTTTGACTCCTGCAGTATTAGTGCTTGAATTGAGCTGTGCAATACACATGCTCTGCTGGGCAGAGGTGGAGGAATTATCAGAAGTCCTGCATTTAAAATGTTGAACCAAATATACTGTGTAGGACTTTTTTTTTTTTCTGAAATGTCACTTAAACAACTAAACTGTTGAAACGTTCCTGCCTCTAACTTTATTACTGGAGGTAAAACTTAGTCAACCCCTTCCAGCTGTGAATGCTCTCAGCAGCGTCTCTAACATCTCGATCCAAGAGTGTGAGATCAGCAGCAGGATGTGATGTCATCTGAGCTGGACGTTGCATCTCGGTGGTGCCTCAGACATGTTGAAGCAAGAGATTCAGATGATGAATGAGGCTTCCTCCCCTGCTGTGAGGGAATGACATTCTGGGACAAACTTTCTATGTGAAGACTTTAAAACGGTCTTTGGGAAGATGACAGGCGGATTTTGTAAATCTGTGTTAAAGAATGAAACTATGCTGCATCATCTGCAGAGACCAACAGACAAGAGCACATCACAGAGACGTTTGTTTACTGAACCACAACCCCAGATTTGAGTGGATTCCTCAAGTCTGAGAGGCTGAGATGACTTTTCTGGTTTAGATTGAAGTGCGAACATGTAAAACTGGGGAGAGAGACAACAGAAGGAAACACATTCAAATGAAAAAAATGAAGTGCCCACCTTTCACAATGAGAAGTGTGACTAATTAAATCTGAATCTCTGGTTTTAACTGTTTGTAATTTCTCTTTGTGTTTCATGTGAATCAGTAACAGTTTCAAGAAGACGCAGCCTCTCGTCCTGCTGTCCAAGATTGACGACAAGCTGGAGCAGTACACCCATGCTGTGGAGGTCAGCTCACACACACACACACACACACGTGCACACACACACACACACATCTGTTGTGCTGCACTTTTAACCCTCAAACCAAATCTTCACACTGCAACAGTCATTTGAAGAAATAACTCGAACTCTCAATTTACAACCTCTGCCGTCACTGGATGTAGCTGCTGGAGCCTTCGCTTGTGAATTCTGTAGGAATGCCCATAGTTAGTGACAAATATCTGATTATTCATCTTAATGATGCATTCAGTTTTACACTTTATATTAACATAATGACAACATTTTAATGCATTCATTTAATGACTCGTGTATACATTGGTACTGAACATATGAAATGAAATGAATGAAAAATACTTTATTTATCCCAGAAGGGAAATTCAATAAATATTAATACAACCCAAATATTTTCATCAAAATATCTGATCTTATCACTTATATTATCCACTCCTACTGACTGCAGCACTGTTAAACATTCTTAATGGTGACCTTTAGGCACTTTCAGTCACTCAAAAAGGTGTTTATGTTACTTTTCTTGTTTGATTGACCTGTGCTGATTTGGTTTGTCACTACCAGACAGTTTTCATATTCTACTGCTACATGTGGAAAATTTAAACCTTAGTGTCATGTGACGAAAATCAACCTTTTAATCAAACAACACTGGCACAAATTATTATCAAATGCGTCTGTCTAAGTATACCTGAAGGAACGTTTGAGGTCAAGGATGGATCAAGGTCTGGTTTAATACAGAAAAGATGACTTTTTAATGAGCAGAGGAGGAAAATGTGATATCCGTCCTTCCCATACACAGTGTGAGCGTGCAGAGGACACACTTAGAACCATGCAGAACACATGAGGGTAACTATAGTTTGCATATATTCATACATTTTGGATTTTAAAGTGAGTCAGGAGGTAAATTTATCATTTTACAATCCAAGCTATTATTTAAAGCAAACAAACAAACAAAAATGGACGAATATTATTCAAAGCAGGGCATGTTTTTTTATCTGTCTTTGAATACAACTGACATTTATTCTGCTACAGGTTTGAACTCACATTGTATGAAACCAGCTGAGGGACAAAAGCAGCTCTGACCCTTTCTGTGACACACTCACAAATCTTTGTATCACCTGCATGATGACCTCAGAAGTTGTTTTTGTCGGAATGTCAGACAGATACATGATGGGAAAACCTGACATTCACAGCTCTTTATTTTTATTCTTCCATTCCCTTTGTCTCTCATTATAAGCATAACACAACCACAGTGATAGATTTATACTGGAGAAATGCCAGTTGTTTTTTATTCATTTCTCATGCCAGTATATGCAAATTTCTATTTATGGTCATTTCTGTAATCATGTAACTTGCCAGGACAGAGATTTTACATTTTTAGAGTGCTATAACAGAGCGGAAAAATTGTAATGCAAAATCACCAGAACTTAATTTGAGGTTTTGATATGAAGAAGAATGAAGAAGCAGCTTTATTGTCATTGTACAAAAACACAACTAAATTTCGTTTGACATCATCTTTGTCACAGTTCTAAGTCTAAATCTGAATCTGCATTCAATCAGCACACACAGGACTAACCCAAAGGCTTGTCATTTTGCAGAACTCTCAGGAGGCCCGGGCAGTGAAGGCATCGCTGACCGACCTGCCCAACTCACCAGAGGTCGTGACCTCCAAGAAGAACCTGTTTGAGGCTGGAGAGGCCTGGAGCCAGAGTCCCAGCAAGGGAGCTACCGTCAAGGTGAGAAAATACTCCGAGACCCTGTACTGTCAGACGTCTGCTTTACGTTGATTTGACGTAAATGAGTGGAATTAGTGGCTTTCAAATAGCCAGTTTTAAAGATGAGATGCTGTAAAAGTATTAAACCACTACGCAGGCCAGCTGACAGCCTTCCCTGGGCCCGGGACAAGATGATACTAGATGCCCGCCCCACTTACCCACATCTCCCCTTTTCTTTGCTCTTCCTTCGTCCGACTGGGCAGCAAGCTCCTCCCGCTGCACTTTGACGCTCCCTCTCTCAGTCTCATCCGTGGTCTGACTCTGTCCCCCCCTGGTGGACCAGCGGACCTTCCTCCTCCTCATCTCTGCTACCTGACGGCAGGTGGATCTCTCGCCTCGGCCTCTCTGTCTCATCCTCTCTGACGGAGCCACTAAACTCGTCCGTTTCTGTCAAACAAACCGTGTTTTGTCAGAATTTTAGTCATAGCTAATGGATATTAAGAGCTAGCCAAATAACGTTACAAGGCTGACAAACGTTGGCTCCGCTGTTTCTTACCTCGCTCTACACTGACTTTACTAGTTCCAGCTTCGTTGTCACCACCTTTTTTTTAAAAAGTATGTTTTAAGCAAATCTCTAAGGCAGGGGTGTCAAACTCTGGCCCGCGGGCCAAATTTGGCCCTCTTTGTAATTATATTTGGCCCGCGAGACAATATCAAATGACTGCTAGAGCTGCCCCCGGTATTATACTGTACAGCGCATTCACCGCTAATACTACAAATCCCATAATGCCCTGTTGTTGTTTTGACACGTCAATCAGGACAGGACCCAGAAACTCCCTCTCCTCTGTGACAGTAGGCATAGCGACTTCACACTACAACTGTCACTGTGCCACTGATGTGTTTTTTTATTTATAATTTGATTTTGCATGTCTCCACTATTAAGTTATATATAATGTATGGTAATGAGCGTTGCTTGTTCCATATTCAATGTTAAAGAAAAATGTGTTTCGGTCCATATTAAAAGGTTCATTTGTTCAATGTTGGCCCATGACTTTGTTCAGGTTTTAAATTTTGGCCCACTGTGTTTTTGAGATTGACACCCCTGCTCTAAGGCCTATATTTTCTTCCTCTCTTTTTCCTTTTCTGAGCACCAGACTTCTGCTGAGCGGACATTTTGGTGCTGAAGTGCAAAATCCGAACTTCCAATAAAAGGACATCAGATGTTGATCAGGGGCCAAACCATTTTATGTTGGAGGTGGGGGTGGAGGGCAACTCCAAAGATATTAAGGACAGTTCAGACGAAAACAAATTAAAACTTCTAACTCAAATATTGCTCTGTTTCTTTCCATTAATAGCCCTTCTTTGGGGGAAAAAATCCATAATTCAATGAGGGTCCAGTTCTGGGCCCCCCACCCCACTCTGGGCCCGGGACAACAGACCCGTTTGTCCCCCCCTATCGGCGGGCGTGTTTGGGTTGACATAAACTGATTGCAGAACTAGATCTCTTTTGCTTTTCCAGATTTTATATTTGTATATGTAGCATCTGCATGACAAAGAAAAGTACTGATGTGACAGCAGTGCCACGAGATGAAAGAAATTACATGAAATCATTACTGTGACATATCCACGATAACTGAACAAAGAGTCTGATTAGTTTGAAATGAGACAAAAACAAAACAGGAAATTTTCACATCAGTGGTCAGATGGTATCTACAATCTAACAGTTTAAAGCTGCTGCAATGCACCGGGAATCCTCACAAAACAGGGGGAACACAAAGTTGGCACAAATTTATCAGGATCTACGAACACTCATCAGAATGCTTTGCTTTTGGTTTCAAATATCCTGTCAGAGTGTTAATGTGTGTTTTTGATGAAGGTAAACAGCTGCAGTGTAAAAACAGACAATCACCTGAAGCTAATCGGAACAGATTGCTCAATGAGGATCATGTTTGTCCGACCTCAAAGCTACAAGCTCGCACTTCTATTTTCAGTCTTGGCAGCAACTTTAATGCTCTCGTGTCTCATATGTACAATATAAATCTGTTTTATTGGAGTTCTCTGGTGTACAAACCAGACAAGCACACTCATGTCTGCAGAGACTGCTGACTGTTACGTCTGTTTTTGTTTTTTGTTTTTTTCCTTTTAGCCTGCAGGGAGTAAAACAAAGAACCAGATTTTGGAAAATTAGAATTAGGTCAAATGTATTATCGAACACAACTGATTGGTGATTCTAAATTGTCTGTAGGTGTGAATGTGAGTGTGCTTGGTTGTCTGTCTCTAAGTGTAGCCCTGTGATAGACTGGTGACCTGTCCAG